TTTAAAAGATTCCATGTTTTCATATTATTTGGTGCAATGCACATAACAACACCAGGAAAAACAGATTTCCAACTTGTTGGAGCATTAAATTGATTAAGGGTCTCGGCGATGAAGATCGATAGCAGATCATTGAACACAAATTCAGCTTTTAGTTGCCAGTGAATCAAACCCGGCTGCTAGCTAGCAGCATCTGACTCACTGTGCAGGCTGAACAAACTCCCTGGGCAGATTAAGTAACTATGCGGCCACTCAGATGCAGTAGTCCAAATCAAGCATCCCTGTTTGTTGCAGACGGTTGGATAAAGGCTCAGAACTAAATGATTAAACTTTGAGATCACAAGCAGCACACTGTTAAGGGGCAGGGAGGCTGAAACCTGGGATATAAAGCAGCTGCTCTAAAGATGCATGAGTCAAAAATCATTAATAGTTTCTAAATCAGACTGACTCATTTTGTTCCCTTTTCCTTGAGGAGAAGAGAGCAGCAGTCTAGTATACTTTTTTTTTTTTTTTTGCCGATGGCAGATTTAATGGCTTTTCTTCTGTGTGCTGGTCAAGAAACAGCATTTTGCAAAGAGATCATTGCATCTACCTCGAATGAGCTTTTCAAACCGATTCTGCTATATGCACTTCCTTTTCGTCCGATTGAAAAGACCACGACCTTCCTCTCTGGTTTATTGGGTGCATTTAATATCCAAAGTGTGCCCATCATCTGGCTAAGTGCATTGTTGGAAAATCTGGATCAAGAAAAGAGCTTCTGTCGATTACCTCAAATTTTGTGGCTGTGAAGGTAAAAGCACTGACGGATGTTGAATTTGAGCTATTTTAGACCAAAGATTCTGAACTTTCACTAGTTTGAGCTTCTGTGATCCCTCCTTTCTCCACTTTACTCCATATAAAGTTAATGAGTTTGGGATAATATTTTCCTACTTTTTCAATGTAAAGCCATTCATGGAAAATCAGCTTGAAAATGGAAAGATAAAATTCTGTCATATCCATGGGTCTAATGGTATACCGTTTAATGAAATCTAAAAATATTTGGGTCAGGTATCACAGTTTAGCACTTTTTATGAACAAAATGCCGATTAAACCTTGACCACTCAGTTAGATCTGTAATTAATAGTGTTTCAAAACTAACAGTCCGAGAAATCAGTGTGAAGTGTTGTGAAAACCAACCAGCAGCTAATTGGCCTGAAATGAGCAAAGGTACCTGAATGGCCCTTTAAATTGTCCCATAAGACCCCCCCCCCCCTCATTGTTGTCGCTTAAGCGCTCAACAAGCCACAGAGGCGGACAGCCAACACGCTAGTATGAGGTGAGAATTAACAGATATATCAGGTCAGAATTTGCATCCACTCAGCAAATACGTCCAATTGACTGAGAGCTCCAAGCGTAACCTGCCCGAAGAGATGGAGAAAATGCAGCAGCGGTCAGTTCTCTGCCGCCACACAGGACTCAAAACGATGAGACGAGGAGCAGTTGATGTTCAGCTGATTATTCTGAGGTCCTTCCAGAATGTTTTCACTGGGCCTTTCTGTGGGGATGCTGCAGAAAATCCACATTTCTCATTTTATAAAAGGGATTTTGAATGAGAATGCACTTGTAACCTTGAATTTAAATCTGTTGATTTGTTTCCGTGGCTCTCGGGTCCCATCCTCTGAATGTGCTCTTAGAATTAACCGGAGAGGTGGAGGGAAAAACAACTTGTGACATGCCTGCAGACGGACTCGCAGCACTACCGAGTGGGCCACACACGAATGACGATGTAATAATGTTCTGCACCACTGCGTTTACCTTACTGCTATTAAATAACATTGTAAATGACGGTGTAAATAAAGGTTTGTGTGGAATAGAACGGTGTAAGGTTAACATTTTTTCTGAGTACCACGCGTGTGTACTTGCTTAATTTAGTGACTTCAAAGGTCCCTGGCGGATCTCAGGTCTTTTGAAGTGTCCCAGGAGTCTTGTACTTAGGACTTTTTGGCATTCCAGAAGTTCAATCAAGTCTATTTGGTTCAAATATGGAATGTAATTTTCATAGGCTAATGGTAGCTCTTTACAGGTATCCAAATGTCAGCGGAGGGGTTCTACTGTCACATCAAAGGGAAAGGAACCGAAAAAAGAGCCGCTTTACCTGCCATGAGGTCTTTATAAATCCTTTGAGGGGATCAAAAGCCAGAGGAGGTCTTAAGAGAAACTCGGTTGCAAGAAATAATTTGTTCTGCATTGGCAACCTCGGTTCTTTCACAGTTCGAGGATATGTTGGGTGATTTGAGGAGATGAACAGCTACCTGAGAAGGTGTAAACAAACCTTTTAAAGAGTCATGCAACCTATTTCAGGTCTCTTCAAACATCTCTAAGAATCCATGTTACCTGCCAGCCTCTCAGAGTGTCGGAGAGGTTTTAATAGGGCTTTAAATAGTTTGGGGGGAGGAAATTGTGAATTTTTTAAGGAATGATTATAGCTAACATGACTACTTCTTATCCTTCTCTGCAACTGTAGCAAGAGTCAGTGAAGATGCCCAGGGCCTTTTTAAGAACTGTAAAAATCTCAGACAGGATCATTTGGCCAGCAGGCAGTTTTCTTTATGGTTCACTAAATGAAAGGTTATCTAAATGAAATAAATAAATACACTTTATTTAAATTCATAGCGGTTTAAAGGTAAGACTAAAGCATTCACTTAAAATGACACTATAATAAACAATAAAATCCATGCTGGGGAGACAGAAATAAATCAATCCAGACTGTACATTCACTGTTCTTTAAAGTCTTTGTTTGTCAGACCTCAGAAGGTCTTCAGAGAGAACCTGTTCCAAACACAGTTATTGATTCGGGATTTTCTCAGCGTCCACATCTTGCAGATGGAGCATATTTCAAAAAGTGTTACACTGCCACCTGCTGGTTGAAAACAAACAGCTCAAGATTCTTTCCATGGTGGAATGAAAGTGAAGAGCTCAAAGGGTGGAAAGAGGTCAAGCGCCTTGGTTAAAATTTGTTCTGTTTTTCAGATTATTTTCATTGAAAAACATGCAACAGCTGCACGAAAAGCTTTGCCGATAAATGTTGAAAGAAGAAAAAATAATGATCTTTAGTGAACAGAACTGTTCCGGCCACAGCTGGAGACTTTGGTGAAAACCTTTTCGAAATCACACCTACAATACTGAGCACCGATGTTCAGATGGGTTACCAACATTCCCAACAGCCCAAATACAAAGTTTGTCTGTTTTTTCTGTTAATCAAAACCCTGCTGTGCAGCAATTTGTGCTCTGCTTCAACAAAACAGAAAATCTCAGAACCATGTGTAGAGTAACAGGAAATCTCACCCAGTGCCAGAGCTGCTAAACGTATGTCAGCGTTCATTATCTTTTGACATATATAAGACACAAATGCAGCATTTATTTCACCTTGCTTGACTCAGTGGTTGTTTTCCTTTTTCTTTAAAATCCTTCCACTCCTCTTTTGTCCAAAAGCAGCTCACAGATCATCCTCCTTCATGATATGAGGAGGCTTCTCTTGGTTCCGATCCAGATCACGGCTCCACAGTTGCTGCCGACCACATGAAGAAAAAAAAGAAGCCAGGTAGTGTTAATTTTTTCTACAACTTAAAAGGTTCCTGATTTCCAATTTTACGCAAACACATCAGGAATTCTAAATTTCTAAAGGGGGCATGATAAAGTTGCTTTAGAAAAGGAAAGTTGACACTTTTGATCTGGTTTTAGTAGATTCCTACAATTAAAATAATTTGAGCAGATTCATGACTGCAAAAAACGTTCCACTCGAAATATTTTAATAATAATAACATTCAGACCATACTTTTTACGATTTAATTTAAAGATGTACACATAATTGAAAACGGACGAGTTTGTTCGTCTTCTGCCTGTAATGATTCGTATTTTCATGTTGTCCATGCACCCACAGCTCAAAACGTTACATTGTGTATGTTTTGTATGTACATTTTCTTGTTATTTCGTTTGACATGAACACAACTCTGGTTTCCTCCAGAGGTCCAGCAGATGGCGCTAGCGTTCAATCTCCACCTTGGAGTGAGAGAACTGCTTCTCATACTCCGCCACAGTCCTCCAAAACACGCCGAGAAAAATTCCTCTGCGGCCCCATAGGGTTTATCAGAAGCCTCAGCATGTCACTTTTGGACATTTTTAGCGGCTACTTGAGAGGCTGAACGCAAATAAAACATGAGAAACGCACCAGTCATGCCAATTTTTTTAAATGGCGAGTTAACTGATTAAACTTCCGGGCTAACTTCATTGCGCATGCTCAGTGAGGTTCTTCCTGTAAAGCAGCTGCTGAGTGAGCGCCCCCTAATGGAGAGGATGCTTAAATACACAATTCAAAGCAGTTCTATGGGTACAATTTGATGTCAAATTATTAACTTATATCAACTGCATAAAACCTAACAGTATAAGTTTTAAATAGTTTAAAAGTAATAGTTTAAAGTATTTTAAAAAGAGTAAGTCATATTTTTAAAAAAGTAACGGACAAAATAAATAATTTCACAAGAACATCGTTATAAAATACAAATAAATATCTAAATATAGAAAGGCATGGTGTGCATTGCCTTTTTTATTGTATCTATAATCTTCTAAAGAATCTAACAATAAGCTTCCAAAATGATATATAGAAAGAAATGTTTTAAAATTGAATGAATTGTTATACAGCTAAAAAAAAACTGTAATTCTCGCTTTTTTTAGATTAACAGCATATATTTTCCGGCACCCTCAACATAAATTTCAAGTTTACCAAACTCACGCAAAATAGAGAAAACTGGCTCTGCCAAGTAAGTCATAAAATTTCACAAATCCTTCATTAACTGTGTGACTTTTAGTATTTCACCCATCTTGCAGGGGCAATTAGTTTTAAATCATGTTTTTTACAATAAATGAACCACAGACATGCATTTGAAAAAGAAAACCTGTCTGTTTCCTGAACACGCTAACAGAAAGTCACGGCTACTGCGGTTCAGCAGTCATGCTTGTCTGTTGGCATGGGAGCCCAGCTCAAAGAGAGAAGTGAAACAACTGAGAATATATTTATCCTTTCTGAGTAAAACCAACAAGCAGCCAGTTCTGCAGCAGGCAAAAAGATGAGGCCTCTTTTTTCCTTATATAAATGTGTTTTAAAATGTGTTCCTCATCTCTTTTTCTCCTCTTTCAGTGGGTCAGGTTGTCCCCAAACTCGTAATGCTGCCTACTCGGCTCAGTGCAGACCAGTGGTACTGGAAAATGGTGTTTAAGCATTTATTTCCATCTTTAAACTCAGAGCAGTGAAACAGTGAGATGAATAGTGATAAAACTGCTTGGACAGTCTGATGGAAACACATTTATTATAGAAAACACGTGTATGTTCTGATCAAAGTACACCTGCTTTACAACCTTCATTTTCCAATTTTCTTTGAGTCAGGGGTCATTGCTGAACAGCAATACTTAAGTGTGGCAATTTCCATAGAGGGCCACTTTGCATCAGCAGCAGCATGCTCCAGTGC